TACCGACACCAGGTGTTAAACATTATAAATACAGATAATATAGATATAACCTCTCTATACCGACACCAGGTGTTAAACATTATAAATACAGATAATATAGATATAACCTCTCTATACCGACACCAGGTGTTAAACATTATAAATACAGATAATATAGATATAACCTCTCTATACCGACACCAGGTGTTAAACATTATAAATACAGATAATATAGATATAACCTCTCTATACCGACACCAGGTGTTAAACATTATAAATACAGATAATATAGATATAACCTCTCTATACCGACACCAGGTGTTAAACATTATAAATACAGATAATATAGATATAACCTCTCTATACCGACACCAGGTGTTAAACATTATAAATACAGATAATATAGATATAACCTCTCTATACCGACACCAGGTGTTAAACATTATAAATACAGATAATATAGATATAACCTCTCTATACCGACACCAGGTGTTAAACATTATAAATACAGATAATATAGATATAACCTCTCTATACCGACACCAGGTGTTAAACATTATAAATACAGATAATATAGATATAACCTCTCTATACCGACACCAGGTGTTAAACATTATAAATACAGATAATATAGATATAACCTCTCTATACCGACACCAGGTGTTAAACATTATAAATACAGATAATATAGATATAACCTCTCTATACCGACACCAGGTGTTACATGTACAGTTTTCTCTCCATCTTAAGTACAATTACTCTTCAAGATTTCTTGTTACTTAGAACAGGAAAATAGTTCTCTAATTCCCACCTACCTGGAAAAAACACACATTAATTACATTTGGCTGGGTGTCAGTTTCTTGATCACCAACAAATTGCAGCACAATTTCTTTCATTTCAATAAAACTTGTTTTGTTCTGTGCATTGATTAAGACAAAAAACAAACAAATAGCCTCATCTTCAAATTACAATGATAAGGGTTTACTTTTTTTCTCTGACATTATTACGTTATTTTCATTGTGTTGTATAACTCATTTTCACACTTATTTATATATTTTTGGGAGTTTCATAAGGTTGAAATATCTTAAGATCAATTCATATAATTTTAATTCAAAGACAAGAAGATTAATTGATTACAAACAAATTACCTAATAATTTTTTGTTTATTTTTAGTATATTTTTGACTGTTCAACTAAAACTAGAAATCACATAAGTCTCCTTTGGCCTGTATGTCCTACAAGATTTAGTTCTTAATAAGTATATTTTATTGGAATTTGGGCATGAACTTATTTTTCCCATCAAAATTTGCCTAGATGTATTATTGTAGTGTTTGGTTTATTTTAAATATTTGAGGAACCTTGTGATTAATACAGTTAATGTATTATTAACTAAGAGACCTGCTGATTAATTATATACCTTATTTTGGATTGACCATAATCAACTCATCACTGTCATTATATTCATTCAGCTTTGTTTTGTTAAAACTGATATATGCATGAATGTACAATGTATATGTATTGTGCTCTTGCAAGCGCGGACTTTTTTACAAGGTTTGCCATTTTTGTGGTCACGTGGTAATTATGTAACCATTGACACTCCAGTTTGTGCGAACTTGTTCCTCTATACTTATAAGCTTTCGAAATATATAACTGAATGAGACAATAGACTGAGAATGCATTAATCAAAACCGTCATCAAACCCTTCTCGTTGCCTTAAAATGTCAATTATTGTATATTTTGTAAAAGAACAATATTGTCCATAATTCATCGTATAAAAGTGATAAATTTTTTGTACCTTTTTTGTTCATTTTAGGTTCTTATGTTGGTACTTTTTTGTCCATGCCAGTTTGTGGTTTGCTGGCACGTGAAGTCGGTTGGCCATCCATATTTTATGTATTTGGTGAGTATACGAACTTATTATATTTGGATCGATAACCAAAATACCATTATGCTATAGAATAATTTATACACATTTACTAATTATTGTATAAAGTGGTTGTAACTTGTAGGTATTTCAATCTTAGACTGAATGATCACTAGGATGGCAGCAGTAAAAAATATTTCTTTGAATCCTGCAAGGTTTTTGTGCTGCTGTTGACAAGAATTTCATGGTCAATTTCACTGCTCTTTATTAGAGCCCATAGACTTGTCATTCCAGAGCCAGACAGGAGCCGCCCTGGTTGCATTTTAATAAGGCAGTGATTCAAACCATAGAGAACTCTGGGTAATCTATAGTGATGAGGGTGATCGATTCTAAAAACATGTCAAAATATTTATTCTGGTATATGTATTTTATCATTTCCAATAGTTGTGTGCAGATGAATATATTATATGAATACATTAAAATTGTTTTCATTCATAATCGTGTTAATTTTCTTGCAGGGGGTATTGGAGTCCTGTGGTTCATTGCATGGTGGTACTTTGTTGAGGATAAACCATCAGAACATCCCACAATTGGACATTTAGAATTAAATTATATACAAGACACCATTGGAGCCATTCCTGAAGCCCAAATGGTTAGAATGTTATCTCTGTTTTGAGTATATACAAAAACAATTCATCCCAAATTATAAATGTCTATGCAAATATTTATATACTGTTAGTAATGATCATACAGTGAATTTATTCTCTGTTTATTCTCTCATTATATTTAATGATTTTATTGAAATCCATGTCAGAGGTTCCACAACTTGGTGGTAATGTATAAATCTAAAAATTCTTTAGTTGAAAACTGCAATTTAAGATCATTTGTTGACTGATTTGCATATTAACTGGTGACTTTCTTAGCATGCTCGAAACCATGGCTTGTTTGCTGCAGTTTGATGGAATTGTACTTGAACAAAAATATATATCTATTCATTATTATTATCCATCTGTCACAGTATTGCTGTAAGTTATAGCATGCCGTAATTTTGTAGTATACTGCCTGGGGTATTTGCATCCTACATGTACATTTTACCATACATTGTATTATGAAATGCAAATTGCAAATATGGAACGATTACATGGTATTTCAAAGAAGTTCAGTGCAGGAAAGTTCCAATAACTTTCACTGACATTGCTAAGTTCTTGGCTTTGTATATCAAGTAGTTGGATTGAGAAGAGGTATAATAATAATAAGGTTATTATGAGGATATCGCAAAGTATACACTCAGGCAGCATGTGCAGTTACATCAAAAGCAATGTAGTTCTAATTGTGTTCCCTTTCCCTTCCAAATTCTAAATTCTTCTGATTATTATTCCTTGACTTAAAGTTGGTATTTGAACTAATTTGAAAAATGTTATATTATTATTGTGACACAAGTCAACTTTTTTCCCCCAGTAATATTTTGTTGCATAAAAACTGTCAGAAAATATGCAAAAGTGAATTTTTTTGATTAAAATATGATTCTATGAAAAAATAAATCATAATAATCATCAGAATCACTTGTGTATGTCTTGAAAACCATGCATACATATTCAAACTACATATAATGTTTTAATATATGTATGATGTGATAATTGCCCATGATACTGGCCATTTTTATGTTAGACTTGTGTTATCATATTTTTTACAAAAAGTAGCTTGGCTAGTTTTGTGAACAAACATCCAAATAATATTAAAATGCACTGCAGAAGTCAATGATAAATTTAATCTTAACATTGTAATTACTGCATAAATATGTTGATTGATTTCAGACTAGACCACCTATTAAGAGTATGTTATTATCGTTACCAGTTTGGGCTATTGTAGCTGCACATTTCAGTGAAAACTGGGGATTCTATACTATGTTGACTGATTTACCAATGTTCTTCAAAGAAGTTCTTGGATTTGATCTCTTTCAGGTTTGTATGTTTATTTTGCACTTGTTTCTTCAATTTTGTTTAATAGGACTTGCTATTTATAATTTGATCTAATGTTTTATGACTGAATTGTGTATGAGTAGCTACAATATGAATAATTTATAGAACTTGCTGTGGTTGTGGATGTGAAAGTACAATCACATATAGTGCAGATAAATTTAAAAAAATGAACAGTCAAACCAGGGAATGATAACCAGTTTATTTATCACCGGTGGAAACATGCTGCATTTCAGGTATTAAACTCAAAATGTGGATTAGATTCTGCAAGTATGCACAAGATATGTCAGATAAATTATTTAATTCAAAACTCACACAGAGCAATACATGTTTCCCATATGAGCAATAATAATATCAGCGTACATTTAAAAGAAACTTGTATTGTTTTAATCAACTACCTAGAATACTAGTGGCAAATACTAACATAAATATTAACAGTACCATGCAGCGACCACTTTCTTAGTCCATTGTGAGTTTTTGCAATTCTGCCAACTTTTGTTGGAACAAAAGTAAAAATCATGGAGACTCATAATTTACTTTGCAAAAGGTTGCAGCAGGTTTTAAACAGTCTCATCTATACATATGTAACCTATCATCTCCGTGCCTTATTAGTTTAAAGCGAGAGGGTCGTCACCTGCGCACGCACAGGAATTGAGTCCGAAGCGACATTAACAACATACGCCAAAAAAGGCAAAGGCTCATGGGTAGATGCTTGTTTGTAAACAATGACACGCTTAGCCATCTGACACATGCGCAGGTGACGACTCCCTCGCTTTAAATGAGCTATCTCGCTAGGGAAATAGGTTTTATTAGCGCCAGTGAAAGCATAGTACTGCATATTGTCCAATCAAACACAGAATTTGAATGATGCGTGTTATAATTAATTTTTGCAGGCTGGTGTCATGTCAGCATTGCCTTACATTATGATGACTATATCAGTAATTATTGGTGGACAAATAGCTGATTATTTACGGTCTAATGGATACCTAACAACTGTACAAGTTAGGAAGCTCTTCAACTGCACTGGTGAGGAATTATATACATCTGTCAGAAGTATAGTGTCCTATGAATGATGTTTTTGTGTGATCTTTAAATAATTGATTTGTTAATGTGTGTATGTGTTACACGAGGATATTTCAATGTACCCTCTATTATATATTAACATTTTTAGTTGAAGGAATGATTTAGCAATCGTACCTCTCTTGTCTTTGTTGATTTCCTGTTTTCACAATACTTGTCTGTCACCCACCAAAACAAATGCGCAGTTATCACCTCCATAAAAACAAAGAAAAACTGTCAAGTGTAATAAGAAAACGCTCCAGATTATTACGTTTTCTGTGTTGTTTACAAAATGTATGTGTGGAGAAAAAGATGTTGTTTGGCCGCAATTTTGAATTTTTAATGAAGTCATTAGCAACATTTTAAATTAGCTAACTAGTTCTCTCACTAAATTCGCTAAAAAGACATGCTTGTACAGTAGTTTAATAAAGTCTAGTATTTATGCAGCTTTTCAACACTGTAATATAATTAGAATAATTATACTTGTGTATCTATGATGTCCCAGCGTAATGTTGTTTAAATCAAATTTACCAATAGTTTATTAGTTAGCTATTCAACACTTTTTAAATTATTTATTGTTATTGTTCTCAATATGTTTACCATATTTTCTCTATTACAAGTGCATGTACTTGCAAAAATGCCACAAATCAAAATAATTTTGTTTTAATAATCCTGTATACTGTTCCCGTATATGCAACTTTTGGCTTATATGTGCTTCTATTTAAGATGCACTTTTAATAATAATTATTGTAATAATTGTAGGCCACCAAATCTGTGAAAGGTTATCAAGTTGTACATACATGAATGAAACCAATATATACGTTGTTTTAATCCTTCACAATACAGCATTGTTCCATCAAGAAATGCACACTGTTCCCAATTCATAACACTTTTTTTATGTTTTTCTGTATTACAGCATTTGTATTACAAGTGGTTTTTATGGTAGCTACTGCTTACACTAAAACAGCAGTGGCTGCAGTAACATGCCTTACTATTGGTGTTGGGTTTGGTGGATTTGCTTGGGCTGGATTTAGTGTTAATCCACTTGACATCGCCCCTCAGGTGAGTTTTGATAGAATTTAATTTAATGAACTGGGGAGGGCGTTGTGCTATTTTGATCCCAGTTAGTGGACTGTAGGGGGCGGTATATTATTTTATCAATTTTTCAGTTTTGGAACATATGAATGATATAGCGTATATCATGTAGCTTTGATTCTAGAAATCATTTGTTCACTCACCAGCATGTTTTATTTCTTATTTACACAACTTCACGAGCAGTCTTCATTCTGTAATGTAGTCATGCTTTCAATTAAGAGAAAAAAATGGAAATGTAGAAGGCCTCAAAACATAAAACATCTGTCTGTCTGTGAGTGTGTGTGTGTGTGTGTGTGTGTGTGTGTGTGTCTGTCTGTCTGCGTGTGTGTGTAAACACCTGAATCCTGCATGTTCATTACAGTTTCACTGCATTTTGCAAAAATGTATTGCATACAATTAAACTTGTATTATTAAACTTATAAATATTTTTTTTGAAAAATAAGCAAAACATTTATGTATCAATTTCTTTTTCTTTTTTACTGTTAAAACAAAAATTTAGGTAATATTTTTATACCGGTAGTAGATATTTGTTTTGTTCAGGTACAGACTTATTTCAGTAACACTGATCCTATATGTAACAAATATAAATGAATCTGATCCCAGATTTCTTTCTAATCCCATTTTGTACTTGATTTGTGGCCTGGTAATTCAGGTAGAATACTATAATTAGCATATCTTTCCTTATATGGTGAAACTTTTTAAATGTCACTAAATACATTGGCACAGATCATCTAATGGAGTTATAAGAAGGGCTTGAATATTAGGTATTTTTTATCCCTTTTTTAGCTCCGCTGTCGACTTTGTCAAGCGGAACTTATCATATGAGTGATTGTCCGGCGTCGTCCGGCGTCCGTGTCAGTGTTTTACTTTTTCAACTTCTTCTTGAAAACTACAAGCCTGAATGCTTTGATACTTGGTGTATATGTACCTTGGGTAGACCTCTCTCAGATTTGTTCATTTTGTGATGATATCTTCAATTCTCTAATTTTGGTGAATATTTTTGTAATTTTTGGTAAAAAGTGATATTTTCGACTTCTTGTTAAAAACCAAAAATTCAATTGCTTTGATATTACATATATAGATACTACATGTAGATCTTTCTCAGATTTGTTCATTTCATGATGATATCTTCAATTCTCTAATTTTGGTGAATAATTTTGTCATTTTTGGTAGAAAGTGACATTTTCGACTTCTTGTTAAAAACTGTAAGTCCGATTGCTTTGATACTATACATATTGTTCATTTTCTAATGATGTCTTCAGTTCTTTAATTGAAATGTGCATTGCTAACAGCGGAGCTATCTCAGCCGATGGGCTGCTTGTTTCCTGATAGCTAATAATTGGGCTAAATTAACAGTGAATATATTTATAATAATAATAATAATTTTTTTCACAGACCAGTCAATTAAAAATTTAGTGAATATATGTGTAGCATGCCAGTGTCATCTTATCACTGGTTTAGCCACTAATATACTGTACAATTAACTGAGTTGATTTTATTTTTGTTTTCATCTGTAGTATGCCAGTGTTATCTTTGGTATATCTAACTGTATAGCTACGATACCTGGAATTATAAGTCCGTCTATTACAGGTGAAATTGTCACACATGGGGTAAGTCAAACCCAAATAATACAAACTGCCTTCTCTGGAATAATTGCCTTGATTATATTTTGTATATATTCACACAATTTTCTGCATTACTCCTTCCATCAACACTAGGCTCACTTTTAAATAAAATGAATATATTTGTCAAACAGCAGGCTACACTGTAATGTATTTTTTCACTAGAACATAGTTTTATTGTTTTTTTTCAATGTACCATATATTTTTCTGATCCCCAATTAAGAATAATACAAAAATAAGAAATGTTTGTATTAAAGGTAGCATCCATTATTTTCATTAGATAAAATGAAAATTGTTTTAATTTTTTTTTTTTATTCACATATGTAATAATCTTACATGTCAAAAAAATATACATAAAGGTAATTAACAACATAAAATGAAGCAATAATAGAAATAAGAAAAAGAGAAGGGGGAAAAGTGGGAAAAAAAAAATGGTTGTGGGAGGGGCTGTTGTTGTTAGTGTGTGTATGAGGAGGGGTTCATTTGTTTGCTTTTATTAACTGTTGAATTTCATTAATTTACAATGACTACATGTTAAATAAACTTATAAATTAACTTACAAATATCCTTCAATCACTTGCAGCACTTTGCTCCATTTCGTTTCAAACTTTTTTTCAGTTAAAACACATTTTTCAATGTTAATTTGAAAATTGTTAAATAGCTATGGTGATGTGATGTCATAGCAACCACGTGATTTAACAGATTTGTATCCCAAATTATTGTTGATTAAATATAGAGAATGATCTAAATGCTATAAAGCTGAAATCAGTTTTATAATTAACGTTTTTAATACTATGTTAAAGTATTCTGACGTGTTAATTATACACGATTCAATTAAAAGTCAGTTAGGCCCAAAAAATGATTTTATTCAGTCTGTGCACCACCACTTATTTCATTACTGCACAGCACCCTCTGTTGACGAACTGATTAAACCAGCAAAAATAGCTTGTCTGCCATTAAAACAGATTGATTTCTATCTGTTATTATATCCTGCTTGGTAATAATGGGTTGAACAGCAATAAAGATTGTTGAGCCTTTACCATTGGTTTCTTTTGGGTTTTATCATATCTCAAAATTGTGCTTGCTAAATTATAATTATTGTAAACCCTTCAAATTTAATGTAAAATGGGTATTTATGGTTGTAATGAGATATTAAGAAATTCTGATGATTATTTTTATTTTATTTTTTAGAAATAATGTGCAACATTGAAACTGAAAAAAACTATGGTAAAATTGTCCCCTTATTTAATAGGTTGAATGTTTATGAACAACCTGAATTTAAATTTATAATGAATTGTTCCTTTATGAAAATCTAGAATTCAAATCCTAGTAAATATTTATGGAATGCTTTTGTTTGTTTACATGAAATTGCAACATGAGCTCCATGATGGCTATGACCTTTAATCTGTAAACAGTTGTCAGGTCATGCAATATCGATGAATGTTTTTGGTTTTTTGTCAGACTGCAGCAGAGTGGCAGCAAGTATTTTACATCGCTGCCGCAATGTACTTAATTGGAGCAATTATTTATGGAATATTTGCGAGTGGAGAACTACAACCATGGGCTGGCACACCAGAATATATTGTCTTCCCAGGTGAGGGCACTGCTCCTATCAATCAAGCGGATACGGAGGAAGAAGAAGAAGAAGATGATGAAGAGGAAAATAAGTTATCTTAATTATATATTCTGACAAATGATCGATGACTTCCATACATCAGACGAACTTCTGTAATGTAATAGATGATTATTATTGTAAAATCTGTATTAGAATCCGCGGCTTCTTTTAAAATGGTATGATGCAACAGAGAGGATGCGGCTTCAATTAGAGCATCTACACATTTTTGGTTTTCAATTGTTCAAGAAGAATGTGTGCGGCTTCTATTAGGGATGCGGCTTCTAATACAGATTTTACCATAATAACTAATTTCCAGAATGACTGTGTTTTTTGTCATGCTGCTGTGCCCTTTTACTAAATGCTGTATTTTTAGGACTTGGTGTACAAGTGTTATAGAACAATTCAGCTGCAATTGTGTTTTATGTGAATCTTGCTATTTCCAAAATATTAAATACATTTTTGTAGTTGACATCATACATGAATAATTCTAATAACTGATACAATAAGTAATGGTGATTTATTTGAGATTTCACAGTGTCGTGATATTAATTTCATAACATTTAATCAAGTCTGTGTTTTATTCTTTTTTTTGTGAATTGTCACTCAAAAACACTGCCCAGTTGATAATGTTGAAATACTATTTTTTTAATACAAATTACTGTATATGTAATACTTTATGGTAAGTTTAAAACCATATTTTTGGATATTATTGAAGTAATCTGGACAGGGTTTATTATATGTTATATATATATATATATCATTAAAATAATTTGAATGGTAACTCTCAAATATCAAAAAAAAATTAAAAGAAATCTTTATGTATATATATATACTATATATTCATATATGTATGATGATACAAATTATACATATATTAATAAAACAATTTGCATATCAAAGTAACATTACATAATTAAATAAATATTTAAAATATAATGTATCTCATTAATGTTCAAATTTGTTTTTCTTAAATTATTACATAAACAGTAATTTGTATACATGGCTAAAAAGTGAAAAAATCAAGTCTTTATATACACATCTATGTAAGATACAAATTATATTTATTTTATTAACAAATCCTACATATCAAAATATTTCATAAATGAATTTCGTCATTCAAAAAAATTCA